ATATATATATATATATATATATATATATATATATATATATTCTCAGCCTTCAGTAGTTAAAACATTGAATGATAAAACACTGACTCCAGCACTGAGTCTAGCTGTTTGAAACTTATATTCATTCTCTGCTTCTGTCCTGGCAGTCACTACAAATCCCCATGTTGCTACACAAAGGTCTTTTCAAGATGGCGGCAATAGATGGCGCAGGGTAGTCCTGACCACAGCTGGCTGTGATCAGGGGGTCACATGGGCATAAGGGGCGGTACTTTGTGTGGACCCCTCCCCTGCTTTTCTGGATGTTAGTCTGAAAGCAGCAGAAGAAGGAGACGCTTCAGGAAAGCAGAGTAAGTTCAGTTTAGTTTTATTTCTGATTGTTTCATTGCATCCAAATTTCAGATTATTAACTCATCAGATTATACTCTGCTTTAGGCTTCTAGTTCAGGACTCAGGCTTCTGTGGGTTTGGTGTTAAATGAAGTTTACAGCTCTTAACCTCCTCCACAGGATTAAAGTACATCAAAAAGTACATTTCAAACTACTGTAAACAGTAGAAAGACAACAGGCAAACAATAATGGTTTTTCATAGCAAAATACCTCATAAAGTCATGATCACATTTTTATGTAATGTGCAGACAATAATAATTAGATTTACAGAGCATCTCCAACTGATTAACTTTTATAAGATGGCAGCAGCCAGCTAACCTTAAAACTCAGAAAGATGTCTTCAACTCAGTCAGTGTGAAAAATACAACCTAATGGTGTGATAGTTAAATGGACTCTGATGTACGCTTTCTAACTAATCCAGATACTCAGAGCTCTTTACAACACAATCTGTGCCCTCTTTTACCTCCACACAGCACTCTTTTAGATCTACAAAGATAATCTGAATCTGAAGATAATAATCAGTGCTTTATCACATTCATACACTGATGGGACACACATCAGAGGCAATGAGGGGTTCAGTGTGTTGCCCAGGGACACTTCAACATGTGACTGCTGGTGGAATTGAACCCTCAACTCTCCCATTTTAGGACGACTGCTCTAACCACTCAACCACAGCTGCCTGAGAGTCATTCACATAACATACTGTGAGAGGGATATTTCCTGATCATGCAGAGTAAGCATGTTGTTCTTGTTCCAGTTGGAGCAGCTCTGCAGCAGCTTGGTCTCGTGAGATCTGCTCCTTCGGGGAACGTTCTTCATTTTCCTGACTGTCTGTCCTGGTTGTGACAGCTTCAGGCTCATGAAGAGGTGCTGACATTTCTGGTTTAACATGGCATTTTGACCTTTTTATCCTTCAGCCTGATATGGTGACATGAATTGTTTGTAAAAGACCTGATTCTACACATAGTTTTGGTTTTATTCAAGGTCAGAGTTTGTGAGGCTGAAGGCCTGCAGAGGTCCTGTTTCCTGATGTTTTCTGCAGGCTCAGGAAGAGATCAGCTTCCTTTGATTGCTCCCCGTCGCGTAGCAAAAACTCAGATTTGGAAATATCTCCATCCAACCATCTGTACATGTTGGAAGCATGATAGCTTGGAAAACAAGGGAAGTACCGACTTCCATTTTAGAGTGTGGCTACATCTAAGCAAAAGAAAGTTTCCTTTACAAATAATTGGGTGTCACATCAAAATCCAAGATGACTGTCACCATATATGTATCTTTGTTAACTATCTGAGCTGAATAACTTGGAAAATCTGCTGCTTCCTTAGATATATAAAATTACTAACTGGCTTTTTTATGTGTGTGGATGTTTTTGTTCAGTGCCCTGAGATGACTTCTGTTGGGACTTGGAGCTACAGAAATAAACTGAATT